GCTTGGTAGTAAATAGTTTGGGCTCGGCCAGCCTGATAGCTCTCTATTACAACTACTTGATTCTCCTAGTATATTGCACAAGCAACCAGAGACCACCTATAACAACGGGGCACTGCTGTGCTCCCATGAAACCTTGTTTGAAACACAGACAGTGGGCAGGATTGGACCCCGCATACAGAGTCGCCCTGGCCCACCAACCCTCTGAGGACATTTTAGGTGAGATATTCTTATACGAGTTTCTGTTACTTACAGAGCGCGATCGCCATTAAGATAAAGTGGACTCTTACACTAGATAAACTCGTGATTGACTTAAAACAATATAAATTGTTTCTCACACATATCATAGCTCAGTGAAGGTATTCCTAATTGGAAACCTAGTTGAGCATGTAGGGACCAGGGCTTCTTCCTGTTGTGGCTTCATCCCTCTTGGTCCTCAGAGTCTTCTCCATTCACCCCGTGGATGATGAAAGAACAAGGATTACCTGGGTACTGTGGGTGCGCTAACTCTGAGAGAGGCACTCACCATTTGGCCAGCACTCTCATTGCTGGGAGTCCAGACACAGGGATTTTTTTCCCCCCAGCCTATGAGGCTCCTCGCCTCTGGATTTTCTCTATTCCCTTTATCTTGCTGGATTGGATGGGTATCCAATTCTTGCCTGGGCTAGTCTCTTGTAAAAACAGAAATCCTAGTGCTAAGTCAGCCACTAGGAAGCAAGATAAGTCATCCACCAGGAAGCAAGACGCTTCCCAACCCCTCCCCTAGAGCTGCAGGCTCAGAGGGCACACGGACCACCTTCTAAATGATTAAAGGTATGCATTTTACCGAAAATGTGACTAGTCGGTAGCATCCTAATATAGATCTCCATCTTTCCAGCCTCTGAGATCAGTTCCCTCCCTGGCTGTTGCCTGCCTACCAAGCTGGTGCCATATATGTTAGGTTGTTGCTGTGGTAGCACCCCTCCTCACACACTGACTTCCTTATTAATTCGTGTAACCCAGCTACTTGAACAGTTAAGCCTAAATTCTATGTGATGAGCACCACTCCATGTTTCCTTCTCACATCATGTTCCAATGCAGATGTTCTTGGTACTGTTCATTCAGACACCTAGGGGATTTTCCACCTTGAAGCACGGCCCTTCTGTGGGTGCTTAGCATGCTCCCTGTTCTCCATTCAGTGGCCCAGGGGAAGGGGCCTCGCATAGGACATGTCCAGACGTGGTGCTCATCAGTCTGCTTATGGTCTCTTGGCCGGAGCCAGCGGTGTCACTAAGGTTAGGGTCACGTGATCTGGGAACTCATGTTGTCACCCACCTTCCATGAGCCTCCTCCAGTATCAGACCATACAGAAGCCTTAGGAATATTTATTATCAGTTTTAACCATAGACTACTGTGTGATAACTATAGTGCTGAGTGGCTTATATGTATTATTTCTTTTATTTATTATTATTATTATATTTAACATTCTATTGGGGGCTCATACAACTCATCACAATCCATACATACATCAATTGTGTAAAGCACATTTGTACATTTGTTACCCTCATCATTCTCAAAACATTTGCTCTCTACATAAGCCCCTGGCATCAGCTCCTCACTTTGCCCTTCCTCCCCGTCCCCTCCTCCCTCATGGACCCTTGATAATTTATAAATTGTTATTTTGTCATATCTTGCACTGTCCGATGTCTCCCTTCACTCACTTTTCAGTTGTCCGTCCCCCAGGGAGGAGGTCACATGTAGATCCTTGTAATAGGTTCCCCCTTTCCAACCCTTTCTCCTTTTCCCCTCCCTGTATCGCCACTCACACCACTGGTCCTGAAGGGATCATCCGCCCTGGATTCCCTGTGTTCCCAGTTGCTATCTGTCCCAGTGTACATCCCCTGGTCTAGTCAGACTTGCAAGGTAGAATTGGGATCATGATAGTGGGGGAGGAGGAAGCATTTAGGAACTAGAGGAAAGTTGTCTGTTTCATCATTGCTACATCGCACCCTGACTGGCTCGTCTCCTCCCTGCGACCCTTCCATAAGGGGATGTCCAGTATTTCTTAGAATATGTGAATACCAACCACAGAATTGTAAAATCTTTCTACATCAAATGACACCGTGATTAGTTATAACATTAGTGACTGGGCAGCAGCCTTTAAAATCGTTTTCCTCCTTCTGTGCCTTTCATTACTGCTTCATTCTTGGAGAGAGAAAAAAAGCTACCGGTGCAGGTTCACAAAGACTAATGATCATAATGTTGTCGCTAAAACACCAGAAAGTTGGCAAAAGCCGTGACTCTGCAAACGCTGGCACCAAAGAGAACAACAGCGCGTGCTCACAGCACTGCCGATGACACCTCATGACCGAGCACGCAGCCCCGTCACCGGGCGACAGCCCAGGAGAAGGGTCAAAAGGCAGATCAGCGGTTACACATAAGCCGGGCTTCGGAGACTCGTTTTGTGGTTGACACTAACTACAGGGATGTTTTTATTTAAAAAATAATTAATAAATTTCCGCTGAAATACTAGACATTTTATCGACCATCTTTGTGGCATCACCTCCTATGGCAGTGTCACCCGGTGGGGTCCTTGTCCCTCTGAGTGATGCCACGGGCCAGAGCGCAGGGTCATGCTTACGCCAAGAGGGGCTAAGAAACGCCGTCTAGCTGAGAGGCCAGGAGGGAAGGGGAGCAGGTTTGGGCGATTATGCAGGACTGTGTGCCTCCTGGGCCAGGTCTGTCTGGATTGATGGTCTACAGACCATTGGTTTGCCAGCTGAGACTGTTTGCCCTGGGCTTCACAGGGACACTATTACACCTTGGCTAGTAAGATCCCAAAGATGTACAAATACCGTCACTAATGCAACCAACATGCATTGTGTGCCTGCTCTGTGCCAGACAGTGGGCCAGATGGTGAGGACCCGCTGGCCCTCTGTGCTCTGGGAGCTCCGGGTGACCCCTCCACTTGCACTCCTCAGGGCCCCAGAGCCTGGGGAGGGAGCGGGGAGTGGTTTTATGGCTGGTGTGGGTGCCTCTAGGACCCGAGAAACACGTCCCATCGGAGTATAGCGCAGCCAAGCTGCCACCATTGCGAGTGCTGTATCTGTGCATCTTGGATGGAAATATAATTAGCCAGGGCATTCTCTTTACAGCGCCATTGGCTGTTTTCATAGCGCATCCCTTTCCTTCTTGGAGGCTTCTTAGGGAGGGGGCTGCTCGGATATCTAGGGCTGTCATCCCTTTTTTGTGTCTGCTATTAGCAGAGTTGGGAAGAGTGGACAGCGGGATGCCCCTACTGTGTGGCACTGGGTCTTAGATGCCCCTCAGTGGTACTAAGTGCAGCAAGGGCGGGGCCCAGAGCCCAGCATCCTTGCTCCTTTCTTGTCATTGTTCATTCGCGTTGGAAGCCCCCGCTGCTGCTGATTGCCTAGTGGGCCTGGCCAAACTGACGAGGTGGGTTGAGAGCTGGGCACACAGCAAGGGGAAGGTGGTGCAGCGCATCCAGTCAGAACCGCTGAGCCCATGCCAGAGGCATGTGGGCACACTCGTCTCAGGAGCCCACCATCTCCTGGTAACTCGGGGCTCCCGGGAAGGATCGTGGCACTGATACATAAGGCAATGACAATATTCTCAGTGGGTGGGGGGGTTTTGCCAGGTGGACTGAGCAACTGGGCAGAGGGGACATATTGGACATAAACCAGAACAGATTGTTGAGGGAAGTTTTAAAAACCCTTCTGAGCGTCTCTGGTAGAAAAACCGTGTCACGAGAAGCGGGAGGCCGCCTGGACCCCGCTCTGAGCTGCCGTCGTTGACTCTTCTCACACGCTCAGCCACCGAAGCGAGGATTACGAAAGGTTAAATTTCTCACATCAGACTAATTCCACCAACCCTGTGACATGGTGGGTGCAGAATCCCACGAGCCTCTCGGCTCATTTCCCTCCTGTTGTCTGTCTCGGCCGTCACGTGGTGTGTGTCCTGGCAGAGCCCGTTGGTGGATGCTAAACAGCCGAGTGGGTCTCTGACCGAAGGTGCCAAGAGGGCTATGATTTAGAAAATGTAGCCTCCCTTTTAAGGAAGGATGAAAAGGTACGGAGCGCACCTGCCTGGGCATGCTAGAGCCCCAGTGTTTGGGCTATGACCCCTATGCGGATTGATTTCCAGTGCGCTAGCAGAGGTGCGTGCGTGTCTTCTATTAGAACAAAACTTGGTCTGACTGTATTTACCTCCCCCTGGTGAATCGTAAGTACTGCTTGGGGTCTTTCCTATATTAACTAGCTAAGGTGCTTTCTGAGTGTGTACCTGTGCCTCCCAGATGTAAGGGCACTAACAATTGGGCCCCTGTTTTCATCGTTCTTCAACAACGCATGTGATTTGTTTTTTCGTTTGCTCTTTTTTCTTGGGGCTTGGGGGGAAATATTAGTTGCCGCAATGTTAAAAAATGAAAGTGACTTGGAAGTTAGGTTTCCTGTGAATCCTGATCATTCTTCACATCATCGTTTCAACATCTTAAAGTGGGGGAGGACATGGGGGCAAAAAAATGTATCCTATCTAAAACATAGCAGTGAGTCTCCTTGGTTATTTTTATGTTGAGTATTTGGGACAAAGAGGCTCTCTGAAACCAAAGATAATTGCCAGATCGGGTTCAGCAGCTTTGTCCCTGCCTCTAGTTTACTGCAGGGTTTCTATCCCCTTTGGCCAAGCAGAAATTAAATTATAAGCCACCGGTTTCCTTAGAAATCGCAATCGATTCTAAATGGCTAAATATGTAATCTAATCACTGCCTATACTCCCAGGGATGACTCGGGCATTTTTCTCTTCCCACTAAGAGCTCCATGAAAGGCAGGCTCTGCAGTGGCTGCTGCGGACTCTGTCTGTTGCACGGAGGCTCCCCTGCAGTGAGGAGCTGGGGCACTGCGAGTCTGCTCCATAGCAGCCCCTTTTTGCAAACGGTAGTGGATGTGTTACAGAAGGTTTGTGGCCGGATCGCTATGTATAATACTGATGAAGCATTTTTGTTCCAGCTCTGTCTCGGAAGACCTAGGCTGTAGACGTGGGGATTTCAGTAGGAAACATTATGGATCTGTGGAGCTGGTAAGTTTACACTGTCTGTTCAGTGGCAGTACATTGATTTTGATGTAGAGAGGATCGCCAAGCTTGGCAGATCTTTTGTTGTATGTTTACTGTTTGACCATGTGGCTCACAGTGTCAGGGCTGGAATGAATAACTACTGAAAAGCTGACATCATGTGATCCTCTTAATCCATGTGTTTTGTTTTGTTTTTATCGTTACATACTTTTCATAAGCCTGTGCCTTCTGGTGTGTTAAAAGATAGATCATGGCAGGGAGCTTTTCTCAGTTAATGGTGGTGTAGATAATTAAGTAAAATGATGTGTGAATTAAGAAAAGTAGCATCCGGTTTTAAATGACCTGGTTCCTAAAAGTTTCTAAATCGAGTTTTCAGGGCGTGGCTATTATTCAATTACATGTTCCGTTTCTTGTACCTTTGCTTGCTGGTTGTCTAATAGGAATTGGAATATTCATAAGATTTTTTCTTGATAAAAAGCATATTGATGTATGGATTGTTATAAGAGCTTTAAGAACCCCCAATAAAATGATCTTTAAAAGAAAAGTATGTTGATTGAATTAAATACGGTCACAGATGATAGATTTTGGGGAATGAGTATATCCACACTTTCCTTAATGAGAGACATTGGGGTTTTGTGTTATGGTTTTTAAAAATAGCATGTTTTCATTTTAAATGAGGCATAATAAAGGCATATAGTATCTCGTTTTTTTAAGAGACAGATTGTGATATTTTTCTAGTTGCATGGAAATTATGCTCATAAAATTATATTGCTTCATTAACACTATTAAGAACATGAACTATTTTTAATCATTTTACTAAAAAAAAATGGTGCTTTTTTTTTGGTATTCATTTGTATGGTTCCCAGTTATTGACCATCAGTATAAAGCTGCATTCTTGGGAGGCTTAAGTGGTACAGAAATGTATACCAGAATTGTGTACCAGGAGCATTCCACTTGAATTCAAGCACATGTGTAATTGGCCTAGGGGCTGGGTATTCCTGAAAATATAAGATAAATAAAAAGAGGACCCTTGTTGAAAAAGGACAGCAGTTCAAACCCACCAGCTTCTTCCAGGGAGAAAGACATGGGAGGGGAGTCTGCTGCTGTAAATATTCACAACTTTGGAAACCCAACAGAGCACTTCTACCGTGTCCCATAGGGTTACGATGAATCAGAATCAATTCGCTAGCGGTGGGTTTGGGCCCTTGTTCTTAAGGAACTTACTGCCTACCAGCTGAGCAGATAAAGACCTCAAATGTCTAAAGAAGGAAGTTATTCACAATGCGTGTTATCCATTACTCATTGGTGACACCGGAGAGACTGACTTCGCGTGAAGGCACATATACATGAGTGGGAATTGGCAATACAGTGAGAGAGAGACTTTAAAGCACCGTGGGGATTGGGAAGAAGGAGGGAGGGGTCCCTTCTGGAAGGGCTATGGAGAAAGCGGCGTGGAAGGCCTCTTGGAGAGCAATCGGATGGGGATTGGTGGAGAAAAGGGCCAACAGTAGCTATGGGCAACAGCATGATCCTTGGTTGATCGATTCCAAGAGAGGGGCAGGGCTTTGTGGTTCTGGAAACTGCCGCCACTCGAATCACAGAGATCCGTCTTGAGATCCAGCTCCACCACTCCTGGGCCCTGCGATGGGGTCAGGTTACTTAATGTCTTCGTGCATAAGCGTTTGTGTTCAAACATCATTCTTGATTCATCATTGATTGACTGTAGGAGTTGGATTTCTTCTGGCCTCAGTATTTTTTAATTTATGAAGTGAGGGTCTTGGTCTACCTCAGAGTTCTTATGAGAATTAAATGAGATGAGCCGCATTAAGCACTTGGCACATAAACGCAGTCCATGTTCCAAGAAGAAAGTGGTCTGAACTTGATTGTGGTGATGATTACACAGCTCTTCTCAATATGACTGAACGATTAAGTTGTATGATATGTGAAAGAAATGCTAATAAAATAGGACATTTTTAAAAGTTCAGTCCATGTCAACTAGCTGCAGTCTTAAAGACAACATCAGTAGCATATATGGAACCTTGCCTGTCAGATGAAGACCGGACTCGGTCTACTGAGGACTGTGGAACTCTCATTAGCAATCGTGATGCAAGCGGTGCTTTGTGGAGACAGGAAAGTAGGACCAATGGGTTCTTTTGGAAAACACAGAATAGCAGGCATCGGAATTACCTGGAAAGCTTATTAAATCACAGATTGCTGGCTTCCAACCGCCAAACTTTCTGATCCAGTAGGGCTGGGGGAGGGTTTGAGAATTTGCCTTTTTAACAGGGTCCCAGGACCAAACCTCTGCCTTAGAGAATTCAATACACATCATCAATTTTCCTTAGCCTGATGAGGCAGCTAATGATGGTTGTTTAATTCAATGAATGGTTCCATTCGTTCAACTGAAGAATGGAAAAATTTCAATCCATTTGTTCAAATTTTTCCTTTGGAGGGAGTAGTGTGTGTTGTGTTGTGTGTGTATTTATGATGGAATTTTAATAATGTTATGACATTTTGATATAATAAACTTAAATATTTTTCAAAATCCCACATAACTTTACCAGCTTTATGCAGCAATTATTTTCATTCCCTCTCAGTCTTTTCCTATCTTTATAGCTACAGATCTAATTTTTCTTTGGTTAATTATATGTAACTTTGTATGTTTTTTTCTTTTTTTAATTAAACTTAAAATTTTTTATTAAAAAAATGTTTTTTGCTTTTTTAATTTCACTGTATTTTCTAAATATCTTCTTTCTGTATAGTCTTCAAAGTTACTATTTTATGACTGCATGATAGCTCAATATAATGAGATGCTGTTATTGTTATAACGCTTTCCTCCTTTTATAAAATTAGGTTGTTTCTGGTTGTCTCCTTTGTTATAAAAGACATATGCACTGATAGTTGGACTAGCCAAGAAACCTGGGAAAGAGCAAAACTCCTAGATACCTGGAGGCCTTTTGGGATTCTGACTGACTCCAGTGTTTTAAGGAAAGAGACATTTCTTCACATCTGAACATTAGAATATCGGTAAATTAAAAACACTCTTGTGTCTTCTCTCTTCATGAGGGAAAAAAAGGTAGGTCTAACTTTTCTTATACTTGGTTGGACACAGTAACTGAGGACCCAGTAAATCTTGGACACAGACTTACTCAGATTCTCTCAAATTGAAAATTTGCCATAAAACCTCTTGACCTTGAACAAATTAGGTACAGACCGTCCCTGGGTTATGAACGTCCAATTTACCCAGAAGGAACTCTTAGTGTTATATAAGTTTGCCCTCACTTGAAATGCTTGAACTCCTCCTGCCTCAAGACAAGTTCCTCATCCATCACCTTCGCTTGCAGCATGTGCCGCTTTCAAATCACCCCAAAGGCTTGGCGTCTTCTCTTGCACTAACACCAGGCCAGAGGAGGGCTGTGTGCACCTGTTCCCACGGACCTGCACGTTCTTATAGACGCAGCTAGGAGTGGATCCCGTTTGAAATGCAGGGACAGCCCGCATAATGAGTTCTTGTGAAGAACTAAGCGTGGCCATCCATATAGGTACTGAGGCAGATTCAGGGGCGCAGTTCCCTAAGTTTCGATTGGGTGTAAATAGAGTGGGGCATGGATGCTCAGGTCTCCACTGACTTATGGGAAGGTTTCTTAGCCCTCATCCAACAACCTCTAGTAAAGGCAAACCATGTATTCAGTAAGTCACAGCGGGGGGCAGGGGGGGCGGGGGGGGGGCCCGCGGGTCAGAAACACAGATTTTCTATTCTCTTGAAGCCATAGTCTAACTTTGTAAGCCAACTGCCTCCAACTTTTAGTTCCCAGGCTGCTGCTGAACTGGATCCCAGCTGTGTTCCTGATCATCCTCAGGGAGTGTATGGTTGCAAGAAACAGAGCTCCACCCAGTCCAGCTTGAGGACAGTTTCCTGAAAGGAGGTGGTGAATCTCCCAGAAAGGAAGGGCAGGAAGCACAGCTGGCTCTCATGTGACTGGGCAGCAGCAGTTCGTTCCCTCTTTGCTCTGGCCCTTGCGTTCTCAACTTGACTTTTCTCTGCGTGTTGTACCAGTCTGCTCTCAGCGCGCCAGCTGCCTTTGTCTCCACCGTGGCCCCTTTCCAGCCCATTCTCCCCAGCAGCCAGAGGGACTGTTCAAGGCTGACAGCACAATGTATTTTGTTCACACCCTTCTGTAGCTGCCCTTGGCAATTCAAGTCTAAGTCCTTTACCGAGTTCCCCATGACCGTGTGTGATTCCTGCTATGCCTTCTGCCTTCTCCTGCCACTCCCCTGCTGCCACACTTTGGTCTCCAGAGTACACGGAGGTTTTTTCTGGCCCCCTAAAATGAATGGCCTCCCCCAGCACGTCTCTTGTAATCTCAGCTTACATGCCACCTGCTTGGAGAGGCTCCCCTCCCCACTGTATCTAAAATCGCCCCTCCCCTTGTGATTCCCAACTCAGCATCCTATTTACCTTCTTAATAGCACTTGTCACAACCTAAATGTATTGCTTTTCTTAAACCACTGTTTTGGTTGCTAGAGGTATTGTATTTCTAGACCCTGGCACCAGGCCTGGCACATACTAAAACTCACTGCCATCCAATCAATGACCCTATAGGTTCTCATTAAGCGCTTTTGGTACTGAATTATTTGCCACCCTCTGTGCCCCACCCCCAAACCTCTCTGATGTTATAGGTCCATCGCCCATGATAGTCTGTGAATTTTTGCATTCAGATTTCAAATTCCAGATAGAAAAGAATGCATGAGGATTGGCACCTCTGGGTTCAGGTCTCGGTTTCTGATTCTCACAGCTGTGTTCAGGGTGGTGGGGTCACATGGTATAAGCACAGCCTCCAGGGCCCATCCCCTCAACGAGGCTGGTGGGTAGGCAAGGGTCTCTGAAGAAAGCATAGACAAAAGTCAGTTTCTCTTTTTGCACCAACAGCTTTCTCGGCATATCATTCACAGATCGTAGGATTCCATAGTGCCGTCACATCAGGAAGAGCCGTCCAGTCATCATC